CACAGAAGTCAGGGTTGAGGTCAGATTACTGTGAATGCATGAAACTTCCTGAGCCACTCTGACTGATTAGCCTGTTGTAACATTGTCTGGTTTTATTTTTTTTTTTCAGCCAGACGAGCTGTACTTTGAAGAAGGAGACTTCTTGTACATCTCTGACACAGTAAGTAAAACCTTGGAGAGATTTAGCAGCCATCTCGCTCTTCAAGTCCTCATGTCCCATTCGTGTGAATCTGAATTTGACTTCTCCTTCCTCTTTCTTTGGAATCATAGTTTTGCCTTTTTTGCATTTTGTGTCGCCCTTTTGTGGTAATTTTTCCCCCCCTTTTTCCACCTTTAGTCATAATTCCCTCCCTTTCATTTACACTTCCCTCTCTCTTCATTTCACAACTATTTTCCCTGCATTGAATTTGTGTTTGTTTTGTCCGGTTTGTCTCTACTCATTTGATTCTGTGAAACAAACACAGATTTCTGCTTTACTGTTATCCCCAGAGTGACACTAATTGGTGGAAGGGGACATGCAGAGGAAGAACAGGACTAATTCCAAGTAACTATGGTGAGTAGACGATATAGGCGGAATAACTTTGAATTTCAACATGTGCATGTGGTGCCCGACATTACTTAATACAGACATTTGTAATTGTGAATAATGCACTAATGATGATGTCGGTGTGTTTCAGTGGCTGAGCAGGCAGAGTCTATTGACAATCCAATGCACGAAGCAGCCAAACGAGGTGCAACAAATATATACATATTGAATTATTCATTCATTCATTCATTCATTCATTCATTCATTCATGTGTTTGTGCCAGGTCTGTACTGTGCAGACAACTGTCTGTTTCTGGAGACAGTAAAGGCAACCTTGACCTTTTTAACATGTTTTGGTTCTGCTGAAGAGCTGTTACACTATTTGTGTCTATAAACAGGCAATCTGAGCTGGCTGAGGGAATGTGTGGAGAATAAGGTTGGAATCAACGGGCTGGATAAGGCTGGAAACACTGCCCTCTACTGGGGATGCCACGGAGGGCATAAAGGTAACACAAATTGTGGTGAAAAAAGACAAAAATGGCAGCTTCTTTTAACAAACACAATGAATTTTGAGACTGGCATCAGTGCTGTTTGGATTTATCAAACGTTTGTACTCTGTTGAGGCTGTGGCTGAAATGAATTTCCTAAAGCTTAGGACATGATATATTACATGAGAAGCGAAGTACACAAAAACAAGAACTTGTTCTATGAACCTGTTCCAGTGTTTCTCTGTTGTTGTTCCTGTATGATGTTACATGTCATTAAATCTTAAATCCCAATCCATCACTCAAAGTTCTCTCTTTCTTTTTTTCTTCTGGATCAGATGTGGTGGAGTTGTTGCTAAGCCAGCCCAATGTGGAGGTCAACCAGCAGGTGAGATGGGTTTTTTTTATAGTTGTGGTTTGGGTCACAACTTGGGGTGTGATCACACACTATTTCCCCACTTAGATCGTCATTGGCAAAAGATTTACAACATTAAACAATGGAAGTTAAAAAAAACCAAAAACATTGTTGATGGCATTATTTGCCAAGCCATTTTGAGTTTTGTATGTTTATTTTTCTAATTTGTTGTGCTTCTTGTAGTCTCAGGATACTGCATGCTGTATATTTTGTGTGTGTGTGTGTGTGTGTGTGTGTGTGTGTGTGTGTGTGTGTGTGTGTGTGTGTGTGTGTGTGTGTGTGTGTGTGTGTGTGTGTGTGTGTGTGTGTGTGTGTGTGTGTATATATATACACGCTTAATGCTCCTCAGGGTGTTTGTCAGTGATGATGATGTTTTGTGTTTCAGAATAAACTCGGGGACACTCCTCTGCATGCTGCTGCCTGGAAGGGTTATTCTGACATTGTGGAGATGTTGCTGAGCAAGAGTGAGTATCTACCCACATCTCTTATTTGGTTTCATAAAAATAAACTGGCAGCTGGTCATCTTTATTTGGATGGATATCACAACAGAGCAATAAAAACACAGAGAGAAATCTCCAGAAAGATTTGATTTAAGATTTAAGAATGTGTGATCCAGATTTAGGGAACCATAGCCAGTACAACCATAGCCAGTACATAATTTTATATTTGTGTCAGTTTCTGTGTCTTTCTGTGTGTATTTTCCTGTTTTTTTTAGTGTGAGTTTGTTTGTTTCAGATCCCAGGACAGACATCCGGAACAATGAGAATAAGCTGGCTCTGGATATGGCCACCAACGCCCAGTGTGCTTCACTTCTCAAAAGGAAGCAGGGAAGCAGTAAGTACAGCTGCCTCTAGGGGGCACTCACACATACAGTATCACCAGGACAGACCACACACTCATACAGGAAACAGAATAATATGCTTTTTTTTTTTTTTTTTAACTTAGCTCTCCACTGGGGTTGGCTGGCAGTAGAAGGGGATTGTCCAGCAACAGGCTTAGACAGTCCAGCTTGAGATCAGCACCAGAGCCTGAAACAAAAGTCACTCAATAGAACAGTACAACAGAGCGGTAACCAGTACATAAGTACTGCATGTTATGCTCTCTATTGCTTATTTTCAGAAGCTTCAACCAGTGAAGCCTTAACAGAAACCTTTAGCAACAGTACAGGCTGTAGGATCCAGTAAGCTTGAAGGACATGTTTTCATTAGTGTAAAATCACCTCAATAAAGGAATTACTGTGTTTTTGTTACCTTAGAATTAACTGCCATGTTTCTTCAGTAGCCCAGAAGGGACAAACGAAACACTGGCTCTAGATAGAGGTAGCGTTAATGTTTTTCACTATTTCGCTGCCGCTATAGTTTCTCCTTCGCGCTTGGAAGGGGGGGGTGAAGCGAGGGAGTTGTGATCTTTAACTACACTGCTAGATGTCTCTAAATCCTACACACTGGACCTTTTAAAACTGTACTTAGCCTCTGCACAGAGCTGCAGACAAAAATAATATGTACATGAGTAAATATACAGAGCACTATTCAGTAAAGATTATTACATTTCTTTCCTGTGAATGCCACCTAAGACGAGCCATAATTTATAATCCTGTGTAAAAAGGGTCACGTTAATTATCAGCCAGAGCTTAATGAACAACTACTTATTACCACAGCTCGGTTTGCTGTAGACAACAAGGTGCCCATTCATATGACACATTGTCTTATGTATGCCCGGGCGGCTGTGGCTCAGAGGTGGAACAACCTTCCATTAATTGGAAGGTTGTTGGTTAGATCCCCGGCTCCTGTCGAAGTATCTTTGAGCGAGATACTGAACCCCAAATTGCTCCTGATGCTGATCGGTGTGTGAATGTGAATGAGTTAGTTTCTGTTCGATGGACTCTGCGATCACTATGTGAATGTGTGTGAAAGGGTGAATGTGGCATGTAGTGTAAAAGCGCTTTGAGTGGTTGGAAGACTAGAAAGTCGCTATACAAATACAGGTTCATTTACCAATTATTCCTGTGTCTGTGTGTAAATGGCATGAAGTAGTGTTTTTGGTGGTCCGCCATGTGTTGGCAACACAGGTCCTCATTGGGGCATGAGGGGGAAGAGATGGGGAGACAATTACACTGAAGGTTCATTTACTTTACTGTCTATTATTTTTAGTCCTTGAATTAACTTGCAGTACTTCGCCACACAGCTGCTTTGCTGCAGTGTGGTCATTACATCCAGAATGGTTCATTCACATAATGAGTGAGACTCTAATACGGGGGTAGCTATTGCAATCTGTCTAACATTCGACTTGAATAAATAATAAATATAATCAGTCATTAACTGTGCATTTGTCTTGTTTCAGACATCACCCGCACACACAGCAACGCTGAAGAGTATTTGGACGACGAGGACTCGGACTGAGCCGACCCTGTTGAAACATTGTCACTGTCTTCCATTGGGTTTGGGGGGGTTGTAAAGCTCAGAGAGATTTATTACCGACCTAAAATGGATTTGCTGCTCTGTTTTCAACTGTAACTCCATTTTAGTTCTATTACTTTGTGCAAACACCTCAGTTCTCAGTCCCCTGCGTAACGTTTGTGTAAATCTCAAAGCATTGAATTACTGCATTTTTTACAGTTTGCCTGCTTTGCCAAGGGCATTTCCACATGTAGTGAATTTGTCTTGGAGCACCCGTTGCAGCACACTGTAGACTGAGGGGGCAGAATATATGTAGTGGTGGAAAACGGACCAAAACTCTAAGAAACACATTCCAAACATACAGATTATGTTCAACCCATTTACACTGCGCATTAAAGTGCCAGTGCAGATTAAAAGATTGATCTGGTCTGTGTCTAGTGAAGTTTTAATGCTCCATTTAAATTACTGAACTACAAAATCACCCCCAAAAATGAATTGGAAACACATCATCTCTTGCAGCTAGAAACTCTGTCACAACTAGGCACAATTTAGATCTGCTTATGTACCCTTTAAATAGGGTGTACTGAGGGGCCCAATGAGACGTTTTCCTGTGTTAGCTGCTGGTCACATTAAGAGTGTCAGTAAATTGACTTAATATAAGAAAGATAACTGTCTTGTATGTAAGTAATCTTCCTCCCCCTCCATCATAATGTCATGAACCTCGCCTGTTACTCTCTATACTGCGTGTGTTAAAACATTTCCACTGCGGTTAAAGACCTTCTATCAGTCCACTGTAACTAAGACATATCTTCCCTGTGTAAAACTTTAAATCACTCTTTGATCTATCAATCTTTTGATGGTTTGATATCCATCCTGGGAGCAAATTTCTGGTTTTACTTCTGCTTTCCAACAAATTCTATTAAAGTGCCTTAAAAATGTTTAGAATAGCAAGTGTGTCTTTGGTTATGTGTCAATGTGAAAATGTTTTTCTCTTCTGAGGTTTTGAGTTTCTTAAGATGATTTTGTTCTAGATTTCTATCGGCTCTGTTCTCAGTCTGCAATAAAAGATTTTTAACTTAAAATGTCACACTGAGTAGACATTTTGTTTGAAAGCTGACAATAAAAATCACAAATATGTAAGTGTAAGATTAATAAATACACAAAAAGAACGAACAAATATATGTTCAAAAGTCAAAGAATTCCTTTATTACAAAGTCAGCATGTTGATGACATTCCAAAGAAGACAGAAAGGGCAAAAAGTAGATGCGTGGACAGAAATACAGCAAGTCTTTGATGAGGGATTCAGGTACATGCTACATAACTGCCCGAGCAGAGAAAAAAGACTAACAAAGCAGAGTAAAAGCCTCCAAACTTTGAAATGATTTCCTTTCTTCTAAAACTCCTCCCTGACTTTTCAACATAAACAGCAATGGCTACTTCAGGTGAAATAAATTCTTCTCCCTCTTTACATCTGTTCGATGCCAGAGCCAAAGAAGCAACCTTTACCAAAACATATAAAACTCACCTCTCTGTACTTTCTGAGTGCGGATACAGCAGGGGGAAACGGAAGCAACTGGTATTTATCACGAGTAGAAGTGCTGACTAAAGCCATTTCTGGCTTTCAGGTCATTTTTAACAAGTTAGTATTTTTTTAAAAAAGGGGAAAAAAAGGGACACTGTTATTTCTCCTCAGTCAGCGTCCATGTTGAGAGAGCTTGTATAAAACAAGAAATCTTGTCACTCTTCACTGAGCAGATGCAAGGGAGGAAGTGATTAGCGGAAGCTACTTTAATATTTGTGAAATATGTCTTAAGCTGGGTTAGACTGAATGTCAATGTGGGGGGCATCGTGCAGCAGTAGTACTAAGGGTAGCATCTTCAAAACCAACTGCCCTCTGTGGGTTTTTTTTTTTTTTTAACAGCAAACAGCAGCTAAATGGTGTCTGAGCATGACTGTATGTGTCCCTTTGGGGGGTTTCATTGTTAAAGAGTATCAAGATGCATGCCTTGAGTTTACAGTACAAAATGCTAATACATACACTACCCTTCAACCACAATGCTCACTCAGGGAGCAGAGGATATAAATTCTGTTATTTGTGGGTGGGGAAGATTTAAAGGAAGCAGCACTGATTTATTGATAGGCCTCCAGAAATACAAAGACGGTTCAGCATACTGAACCACACACACACACACACACACACACACACACACACACACACACACACACATAAATTAATAACACACTGTCACACATCCACACAGACATGGTGAAAGCAAAACAAAACAATGCCATTAGGCTCCACTTTTAGTAAGAAGCTCTGCTGATTCTGCAATACTGTAAGTTTGGTGTGTTGTGCTACAAAATCTATGATCCGACAAAACAAAAAATACAAACTTGATCGCAGGACATTAAAGCAAAAGGTCAACATTTGGCGGAGAAGACAATATTGATACCACTCCCCCGTACTGTATGTTAAATATAAAAGTAGTAATACATCTAAAGCTCACTAATCAGCCCGTTTTTATCTGTTTTGTTTAATATGTACAAAAGCTGAAGTTTAAAAACCACAATTGGCCGATTTCAGGAGGACCGTGTGGCTGGGACCCGTTGCCAGGCAACCAGTCAACAATCCAGGAAGTTACAAGGTTAGAAAATAGTCGCCCCGCACATAAACACTGTAAAACTGAGCAGTGTGGATTTCACATTTTAAACATTTTTGAGCAGTAAGTAAAAAATTACAATACAATATGTTAATTAGTTAGCTATAGAAGGGCTTGTAGACGAATTTTGTTACCGCCTGACAGACCCAGGCTAGCTGTTTCCCCCCGTTTCCAGTCTTTATGCTAAGCTAAGCTAAGCGGCTGCTGACTTTGGCTAACCGCTAGCTAGGCTCACATTTAATTTATATTATTATATTTAATATTTAATGTTTAATAAAACAAACAGGAGTGGTATGAAGCCTATTATCTTACGCCAAAATGGTGAACTGTTTCTTTAATGTGCCAGTGGTGAAATAAAGGGTCATCTTAAGACACAGGACAATAAATGAATCACTTCCTTTGGAGAACAGATTTTCGCCCAAAATATGATGTTAAATGAATCTCAACAAATTAATCTTACCAACCCAACACACCGAATTGTGGAATGAAACCTCACACCAAAAACAAGCATATCACAGTCCAAAGGACAATCACTACTGCTTACAATGATTCTGATTTCCCCAGGCATACAGTCTGTGGTTTACCCTTCATCCTGTAATTCATTTTCATTGATAAGAGCAGTAAAGGATGAAGATGCCGCCCCATCAACAAGGCACATTTGTGTGTAAAACTCAGCCATATATTAATAAGGCCTTTTTAAAACACAAGCCATGGTTATCATCAAGCTTTTAAGGGAGACTGTGTGACAGACCAAAAGATTTCTCAGAATCAGGTTAGTAGTGATTGCCTTTGCTCAAGTGTTCATCTTAAATAAGAAATACAGACATACATATACAGACAGACTTGCACGTTTTCTTCATATGAGTTACAAAATGGTGTGAAAAAGATCAGCTTATATATTGCCACTGTCCTGTGTCTCCAAAATGTCAGAATGCAAAATAACCAGCTTTATTTTTAGCTGTAACATTGCAAAAAGATAATGTACTTTGTTTTTAAAATGGTTTATTAAGCTTAAAAAGTAGAATTTCTCAATCCCATAAAGTAACATTTGATTGATTTAGTTTATCTAAAAATGTTCAAATCATCAAAAATTGGAGATACAAGTTTTTCACTGGACAGAAACAATATATTGCACCAATGTTTACTAATTATTCAGAATAGACATACAGTATCTTTTCATTAAAAAGGTCAATAACGTGGTTAATGCAGTAATCTTAACATAAAAATATGTTGTATATAAAGCTAAAACCTCGTCAAAGTGGAATTTCATAAACTTCTGAGGATTATTTAAAATAAACAAAAAAAAATTATTAAAGAAATAATCAGGCACTGAACAAGAGAACTGTTCTGTTGACTGAACATCGCCTGTCATTCAAACACCTGAACACAAATCCCTTCTTTCAACCCCTCTCTGAAGAAATAATATCAGATATGATGGAGCACTCGAGTAAAACAGTGCAGTGGAAATTTCACTCTGGCTAATCAATGATATGATATTAACTACAACTTAAGGATGAGGGTGAGTGAAGGGAGGGAGCATTTGCTGGCATTCAGACCACTGAAATGAAGTTGGGAAGGTTAGACAGTAATACTGACAGATTGATACACACTATCTCACTACCATGTACATGCATGCACTATGAATACATGATGAAGTTATTGCCCTATTGCACATTCAGTAGTAGAGCATGTTTCTATGTGACTGGAATCCTTAACAAATCTGTTTATGGATGCTGAAAACCTTTCTACTGATCTTTTCTGGCATAAATACACTGATTACATTGCACCAAAAATGCCAGGTGTTTTTTTTTTTTGTGTTTCTGTAGGCTCAAGTAGAAAGCGCTCTTGCTTTAAAAAGGACTTAAATATGAACTGACCCTGGTCTGAATTCCAGTAGATATCGCTTTGACATTGCAGCAGCTCAGATTGCGTCAGTTACACGGATCAACAACTTTACCCGAACTTTCAGAATCAGATCAGAAATGGGCGTATAAAAGACATACAGAGGTATAAAAAGCCTTTTGAAAATATTTGAAATAATTCACTTCATTTTACTTGCCAGGCACAAATTTCAGAAGTTGACGAACAGTTTCATCACTTTGTGTGTACGACTTAAACTCTAGATAAGCGTAAAAGTTAATGCTGGACCTCTGAAACAGTTTGACAAAGTCTTAACTCAACCGGAGCTTTCAACTGCATCTCACGATCTGAAAAAAATCATTTTCTACAGAAGGCTGAGTGACAGTTAAAAGCTCCAAAAAAAAGCTAGTAAGTAGACCTTAGGTTAAGATTCTTTTGTGAAATCACATTGAGCTTAATGAGTCAGAAAGAAACCCAGTCGTACTGACTGCCATTTCAGTCTGCTCCGATCTATTTAGTGTCGTCTCTTCTCGGCTTCAAAAACGAGGTTGTGACAAAATGAATTTGGGGCTGCATTTTTCTATTTCATGACACTTTCTTTTCTCCATTTCCACTCTACCTTAACCTCTATACAACAAAAAGGTCAAGGGAAAGTTACACAAAAACAAAGATTCAGATAACTTAAACGCAGTCTGAGATTCAAAGTGTGTGTGGAAGGATAAAGTCACATCGTAGACAGTTTTCTCTTGACTTCAGAGCCCACTGCCAGGCTACAAGTAAGGTATAAAATAATGGAACTCTTTGTTTAAATAAATAAAATTCTTAGGATAGTTAAAAGAAAAGAAAATAGAATAACATGAAATAACTGGGATAAAACACGTAACGTCTTGGACAAGCAGCTAATAAAAATTCCCTCCCAGAAAATAATTTCTTTAACTGATTTTTCTCTTTTTCTTTTTTTTTTGCAAAAATGAAAATATAGGTTTTTTTTTTTTTCAATGTTCTTTGCAAGTGTCCATTTAAAAAAAAATTATAGTACCAATGAGTCCTCTTTGAAATATATCTACAGCTGTACAATAGGTCTTGCAAGTGAATTCATGAAAAAACATAAAATTAGCGCATCATTTTACATAAAAAAGCCTCTTTACAGATATGGGTTAAAAAGGGTCATAATAAACAATATAAAAAGAAGATAGAAAGACAGCGTTTGCTAATGAGATTCTTCGAGATTCGTCTTCTCTTCAATGGCCTGTTTCACTATTTCAGCCAACTTCAAGCGGTCGACTTTATCGGAGAAGGCTCTTCCTGCAATTACAAAAATCTGGTGGTTAAGCACTTGATGACTACATTAACAACAACTGCAACGTAAATGAGTAAATGATTAAGTTTGACTGGAAAAGAGATCAAAACTGTATTCCTTTACAAATCCTTACAAATAATATCGCTTGTTTTTTTCATATAATGCTGTTATCCATTAAGATTTAACCTTAGAAAATACAATATATTAAATATTGTACTGAACAATAGAGCAATAATTAGGGCTCTACAGTTATTTGGGTTATTATTTATTAATCTGCTGATTATTTTACCATTTCATCATTTGGATAGAATGTCAAAAACTAATCAAAAAGGCTTTCACAGTTTACAAAGGTGACATCTTCTAATTGTTTGTTCATCAAGATATTCACTTTACTATTTCATAAGGCAAACAAATACAGGAGATTCTTACATCTGAAACTAAGTAAAGTTTGGCATTTTTTTTGTGAAAAATTACTTTAAAACGTATCAATTGTCATATAAATGAATTATCAGTTAATGAATTAATTGATCAGTACTCAGTCATTTAAGATAACTTAAAACTTAAACCACTGAAAGTATCACTCACTGTTTGAGTTGCAATGTAATGTTTGGTCTTTCCTATTGATTTTTTGTTGATATGGACTGAGCTGTGTTTGTAACTGCAACTGCTTTTTTTTTTTTGGCAGGCATTACAGCTCAATCAATATACGGGAAAAGAAAAAAATATTCAATAGTTACGTTTATGACAGATGAATTAACAATGAATGACATGAGGAAGACAACTAACAGCTTTTAGATGTCAAAAGGTAAATTAGTTGCTTTGCTTTTAATTGTGTAATAGAAAAGAGAATCTTGCAGGATATAGACCAGATGAAATGGTACCGACCGTCCCAGCTGAGCCCCTGCAGGCCGTCTCTCAGCAGTTTACAGTCTCTGTTGAACCTCCAGGCATCGTACATCACCTCATTCAGCTTCTCATCCTCGTTCTCTCCTGCACAAACAAAAATATTTATAATGCTGGTTGTTCATCTTTTTTAATCTAGTTAGTTAAAATGACTGTGTGGGTTTACTGACCAGCTTGTGGTAGTATACACTGTGCAATGACATCTCGTAATTTTTCCAGCGCTACGTTGGAGTCTTCCCCTCCATTCTCTGGGTCGTGAATGAAGAAACCGTCACTGGGCTTGGGGCTGCAACATGGAAACCAAAACACAATTCAGACCAGAACAAAAATATAAGGATCCCTGAAATACATAATAACAAAGACTATAGAGTACATGTATGGTCAGAGAACCACAATCGTAACTGAAGAGAATGAGATTTTAGTTTAGATTAAACACGGAGTAACACACTGTAATAGGAATGCAGAAAAATCTGAATAACATTCTCACCCTACCCTCACTGAGTAACTGTACCATAACAGTGCAATAAGTGCAACAAGTGCAATGTATCTATACTTCAAAAAACAAAACATATGAAAAGTTGACACAAAAAAAAAAAATCAACAAAAGCAATCATACCCCAGTAGTTTCCGCTTCCTGAGGATTGGGTTGTTGACAGAGTTTAGGGGCTTCAGACTGACGTTCAGATCTTGAATTCTCATGTTGGCCAGCTGCTCTGCATGGGCCTGCTGGATACCTGCAACTACCGCCTGGACAGGTAAGAGGACAGACCGTAAGAAAAGGAAGAGGAGGATGCCAACATACTGTTTATTATAATAAGTAAGCTGAGTGATGGTCAATTCATTCAGAAACAGCAGAATGAATGTACAACATTTGTGCAATGCAAGATATTGCACCCTAAATTTCTCACTCACCTTGTCCATCATCATCTGGGCGGAGGGCAGCACGTTGTCGAGGGCCTCGGTGCAGTTGAGCCAAGGGTGAGCCAAAACTCCCTCAATAGTCAGCCTCTCCTCCGGCTTCACCTTGAGCAGCCTGCAAGGAGCAGACGAGGAAAGAAGAGAGTACAAATTATTAGACAGAAAAAGCCTGAATGAGGAAGTGTGAATATATGTCACAGATCTTTCCACATGTCAACATTTAACTGTTACACAAGCTAATTGGCCGAATATGCCGTGCTGCTGTTAGAAATGAGAGGCGTGCTGCGAGGAGGGGAGTACAGCAAGATGAGGTTACCAGACCAAAGCACGTAAGAAGAAGACTCACTTGCGTACGATGTCCTTTGCCATTTCAGAGATCTGACTCCACTCATCTTCGGGGAAGTCAAAGCTGCCCGTCATAATCTTTTTCCTCATGTCCTTCGGGATGGTTCGACTGTGGTGCTTGGAGTAGAATGGAGGGTAGCCACACAGCATCACGTAGATGATCACACCAAGAGACCACAAGTCACAGCTCTGAAGAATGATATGTCAAAATATTTCGCATTAGACACAGAAGATAGTCAGTTGTGGTATTTATAGGAAACCTAGCACACTACATTGAATTAAATTTGAGGAACAATACTTGGTACAAAGCCTAAATACTTAGTTCAACAGGTTTGGGTCTCACCTTGTTATAGGTATAAGGAGTGGGTGAGGTAGGTATAATTCCAGACTTTTCCTTCTGGTGTCTTCTTTGAGCCTCAAGTACCTGAATAGAAATAACAGCATAAGGGAAACATAAGCTTTCATTATTGCTGCATTAAAAAAATCTCTGTGTGTGTACATTTAAAAAGTATTTCTGGCTGAATTCTACATTAGCTTTTTACCTGAGGTGCTACGTAGTAGGGAGTGAACTGAGGGGTCATCAAGTCTCCTTGATCAATTTTGGCAAAGCCAAAGTCACACAACTTCACAGGTGCATCCTGTGGGAAAGACACGATCAGAGGGAGCAGCATGAACGCTGAGCGAGCACAGAAACATATTTTAGGATAATTTGTTGGGGTCTCTCAGTGGCTTTGAGTTTTACTTGACAAAATGTTTTAGAGGGAATTCATTTAGTTTTTAGGGGAATCATCTAAGGTGCTGCCAGAGTAAAGGTTGGGTTTGGAAGTGTAGCACAGCAAATGCAGATTGGACATTGCTCTACAGTATTTCAGACAGTAAATTTCCCTCCTTGCAAAGTTTATTTTCCCTGGTAGTATATACTGGATGTTGTGTGATTAATTAGTGCAAAAGCATCAGCAGTGGCATCAGCAGTAGTACACTTTTAGAACCTACCAGAGAGTTATCCTTGAAGAGCAGGTTCTCTGGCTTCAGGTCTCGATGTGCAATATTTAGGGAGTGACAATGTTCCAAGGCTTGACTGATCTACACAGAGGGAAGAGACATCAGACTGAGACACCACTTTATGTGTGTGCGTGTGTGTGTGTGTGTCAAAGCAGCCTTTAAACACACTTGATTTGAGCTGGTGTGTGTTGCTTCTTTTGACCATGTGTCTCACTGTTCAATGCCTCATGTGCTGCTTTATCCAAGCAGGGGGCTGCTAATGACATGGGGAGGCTGCGAGATATGCTGTTACACACAGAGGAAAAGTGTTTCACACAAAGAAACACGCAGACAGACACTAGTGGACAAAGACTGACTGACCACAGTTAAATATCTGAAGAATTACATCCAGAGAGCTAAAAACAGCCTTGTGTGCTGTGGTATGTGTTTGTGACTGTGTGCGTCTTCACAAACCTGTTCAGTGACCTGGCTGGCCATCTTTTCAGTAAAGTGCCTGTGCTGACTGATTCTGTGGAACAGCTCGCCACCCTCCATCATCTCCATAACAATCAGGAGCCTTGCTCTGTGAAAAAAACGAAAGAGGTGCTGACGGTCAGAGGAAACAGCAAAAGAGCGGAGATGGATTGAGGCAGTTTAAAAAACACACACAGAGCTCTTTACCTCGGGCTGGACTCGTGTGGGAACTGCACACTATTGGCGTAAACCTCCAGGATTTGCACTATGTTCGGGTGGTTGGCACACATCATATGGAGACGCACCTGCATGGAAGGGAATACCACTCTGAGCGTACAGTAATTTACTTAAATGTGTTCAAATTTAAGCATACCATCCTCGAAACCATAACTCTGTGCTAATACAATTCTGGTGCTGAGCTCTGCAAACAGTAAGTGAAAAATGACTAATGATGAAATCCAAACATTTCCGAAAGATAGTATAGATGAAAGAGCATCTATTGTCCGTGAAGGTGTTTCACCTCCTTGCTGTGACTCATTATGGATGCCCAGGTCATGTAGTTTTACCAAGTGGGCAAGTCAACTAATAATACGAACTAATTGGGGGGGTTGTGCAATATGAGTGACAAAAAGACATTTTGACATGTAACATGTAGCTACTTCAGTTTCAGGGTCCTAGTATTGTGCACAAAGTCAAATTCAGGAATATCCAACCTATGTACATTACTGCTGGAGAGTTGTTTAGCCTAACCTTGTCTCTCTCTCTCTCTCGTGTGTGTGTGTGTGTGTGTGTGTGTGTGTGTGTGTGTGTGTGTGTGTGTGTGTGTGTGTGTGTGTGTGTGTGTGTGTGTGTGTGTGTGTGTGTGTGTGTGTGTGTGTGTGTTGAGAGAGATGAACACCTGGAAAATCAAGCTGGTCTAGTACTTAGTACAGGAGCTGTGACACGAGAACCACAACAGAAATCGAGATTCTACAACTAGAACTGCAAATTTCGCAGCCAACAATAAGGAGGCTTCATTCAACTAACTGATTGCAATGCTGCAAATTATACAGTGCAGACAAAACAAAAGCAAAATGCAAGACAGACCAAGATGGTGTTAGTGAACTCCTCATTATCGTGCACACAACAAAAACATAGCATGTATCCAAGGAACAGCCGCATGATAAAAAAAAAGGATGATAAAAGAGCCTGAAGAACATATTGTTTAGTGGTCATAATCTGTGTGTTTTTGCTTGTCAGCAACAGTATTCACAGTTCAGCAGCGACAGCTTGTGTGAAGTGAGCCTGTGTTGCTTGTTTTGACTGCATGTCTCACTGCTGTATAAGCTGCTTGATCAAAACACAAGTCTGCTAATGACATGGAGAGGCTGCTAGATGCACTGTTCACCGCAGGAAGACAATGTTACGGACAATAAAGTCCATACAAACAGAGAAGAAGCACAGGAGACAGAGGCGAGGAAAGAAAAATAGGGATTAATAAAGATAACAGGCTGGCAGACAGACCAAAGCATATTGATACAGCCAAAGACAACAGACATTAATCACAACTCCAACAGTGTTTCCTCTAACCTCATTTCTGGCCTTGGGGCGATCAATGAGGATCTTCAGGGCCAGGCGTTCCTGAGTTGACTTCTTCACACAAACTCTGAACAGGAAGAAAACAAGAATCAACAAAAATGATAACCCAATCTGTGTCACAGATGTGATCATGTATGCAAAGAATCAATAAGGTAGTTTCTAAACCCTTGTTCTGCAAGATGTATTCACTGTGTGTGTAAAATATACAGCCAGGCATTTTGCCAGCATTCTTGTTTGTACGGTAAAGAAACATGATCATTATGAAGTCAAGTCTACTTTATTTATATAGTCCAAAACCACAAATTTGTCCTAGAGGGGATCAAATGTTCAATAAAATGCCAGTCGATCTCCATAAGTACATAACGCAGCTGGTCCCAGTGTGCAGGTTAATAAAGTTTGGGAGCTATGATCCAGTGTGCAGTTACTCTCTGCTTTTTCTCGGCCGATGTGCGGTCCTCTTTGCCACCAATAAAATAAAAAAATTTAAAAAAAAAGGTACAATGTTCAAGAAATCCATTGACCCCTAACCATAAAGTTTTCCCTTCTGTTTCACCTGAAGTAGCTTTAAGGTTGTTAAAATGATCTTGTTCGGCAGTGACCGGATCATGTATATTCTATATCAGCTTGGTCCCACTCTTCTTTGAAGTCATGTGATTGACACTGAGGGAAATATTTAAATAATCAGTTTATACATATTCACACAAAATTGAGCTACATATTTGGTATTTACTATATTTTTGTGGGTTTGATACCAGATATTGTGTATATGTCACCCTACAGGTAACAAGAACTTGCAGTACAGAAATTCAGAAACATTATTTGTCCACCAAGTTCATGTGAAATGTCCCACTTAGCATGCATCTTGGTCACAAGGTAAGAACAACAAAAATCCTGCATCACTCAGACTATAGTTTGGAAAATTAGTTAGTGTAGTGATGTTTAGGGATCAATTTCCTTCTTTATTTCAGTAGCTTTTAGCTTTATTATCAATTTCTATAAACAAGAACAAGGTTCTTAAAGTGTTATACATTTACACCCTTCTTAAGGCCCACTATACGTGCTGTGAAGTTAAATTTGGCCTGACAAGACATCAGCCGCCTAGCTAGAGTTAGGAACAGTATTTTGTCAACATCACGTTTGTTATTGGAAATATGAATCTTGTCTGCATCTCTAATGAAAGTAAAAGCAAAGAAAGCCATCTAAGTCTGTCATAAAATTTTCATGTATTCATATTCATGAATATCTGTTAGTAATGGTTTTCTTCAGAGTGCATCTTAGGACTGCAGCAGTAAAACACATGAATACAAAAGCAATTTGCAAGACAGACCAAGACAATGTTACTGAACTCATTATCTAAAACAAAGCATGTACCCGAGGAACACCCTTATAATAAAAAGGTTGATAAAAGAGCCTGAGGAAAATGTTGTTTAGTGGTCATAATCTGTATGTATTTGCTTGTCAGCAACAGTATTCACAGTTCAGCAGCGACAGCGTGTGTGAAAATGTGAGTGAAATATTGAAATATTGATTTCATTTTCTAAAAAGACTGAACTCCTTTCTCCTTCCTCTGAGCAGAAAGGACTCAAATATTCACTTTAAACGGCAACCTCTGGCCTGTAAACTCAGATTACACTATTAAAGCATTACTGCGAAAAACATTCTGCTTCGGCCAAAGTTCACTTCACTGGAAAGCAATACCAACCTAATGAATCACAGAGTCAGACAGAGGGGGGCTGGTACAGAAAAAGACACAAGTGTGTTATGAGACAGAAAGAGGGAAGTGGAGGAAGGAGAATAAAAAACGATTCCTATTAGGCAAACATCTCCATGAATCAGAGTAAAATACAGAGTATTAATAAGAGACAGGGTAAGGAGGAATTGCTCAAAAAGAAACAAAGTACAGCTTGAATCATCAGAGTGTGATTACATGGAGGGCTGATGAGTCAGTTTCTCAGTATTTTTGTCACTTGAGGCCAAAACTACACACGTTAGGAAATAACATGTTGCTCCCTGCTGATTCAGACCCATGATAGCTTCAAAGTGCAGAATGGGCAGGAGGAATCAGTGACACACATTGATATATTACAGCCTGTATCTAGCAGGAATCAGCAGGGAAGTCAGACTTGTACAGAAGAAACTGCACAAACCATAAATAGGCTGCTTGATCAGCCACTGTCCATTCAAAATCCATATCAAATCAAAGGGGCTTTATTGGCATGGGAAATGTGTAAAATATATCTATATACAGATTAGTAAGAAGAAAAACTGAAACAAAACCACTGTTAAGCTTTGCAGTAACTGAATAAATCTAAAGACAAACAATGAAGAGATTATACCAGTAATAGCTGAGGCAGTGAGGGCAGAGGTCAACATTGTTTAGATACATGGGAGGAGAATACTGCTGCACAGTTTAAAAAGGAGGAAAAAAATGCACCCATCACTGGCCAATGCTTCTGGAGATATTGATTCAGGTTGTAGGCCAATCCAGAGTGACATCTCTAGTGTTTTCACGACAAAAGTCCTGTTTCCACGCCTGATGGCAACTTAAATCTGTCCTTTAGACTCACCACATAACTTAAAGTAATTTCTTAATGGGTTGAATGTAAAAAAGCTGAAAAGTCATTACTGCGCAGTTAGTATTCCAGAAATAATGTGCTTTCCTGTGATATATTTTACTGCTTATGTGTGGAAAACATTAGAGAGAAGAATGCAGAGGGGAGTGCACAGATAAAGAAAACTGCTGAGTTTTATCATTGATCTCTTGTGCATCCAGAAGCATCCACTATTCGATCTGAGTGCAGCTTCTTAAAAGAAGGTTAGTTGTTTTGCACAAAGTTTCATTTATAGCATGTGGACTAAAACCTAAAAAAGCAAAGGAATTGGATGTATATACACAAGCCATTTTTCCATGTATTCATTTGCACAAAAAAACAAAAAAGGCTAAGATACTTCCACTCAAGAGTGTTAGGTACAACATTTTTAGGTTGGATTCAAGCCCAGGACGCTGCAGTTACATGGATTGTGTCTGAGCCAAATGGGCCTCCACCAACTACAACAAAAATGGTACCGGTGCCAAACATCTCTGTATAAAGCCTCAAGTTGTGTCGGTGTTACACACAAGTAGTCGGTCCAGTATGTTAAAGCCTAGACAAGTGACAAGCATCTGGCCCTTTCATATTCTCAACATGTGTTAATGTGTGAAGGATAAAGTTAAACTGTGCCGGTAGAATTGGTGCCACAGTGAACACGATGCAATAAAACCACAGGAGAAGTAGGAAGATGTAGGCCGTTTGTTTTTTACAAAAGCTGTCACAAAGTCTGTCCATTCGACAGCCCAGTTAGCAAATAACCTGCTCTGACAACATATCCTAATCCAGCTGCAACCACATCAGGTTCATATGAACATTAACCCTACAGCAGTATTCACTGTGGTTTAGCAATGCAAAAGAATATTCTGAGTCACGCTACACTGTTTTCAGATCTAAACAAAACTAGAAATCACTCTCACTTGACCCTGACTCTGCTCTCACAGCTGGACTTCACACTGCACGTCAGATTTCTCCCAGTATGATCAAAAATGATGCTCCACTAACAGAAGCAAGACAATTTAACAAATTATTCCCAATAACAAACAGATGCCATTATCATGTCTCCTGGTGATGCTGACCAAACATTTTGTTCTGTTCAGTTCTGTCTATACAATATTGCCCCGGCAGCAACGGTTTGACTTCGATGTGAAGCAGCGCAAACAAAGTCAAATCAGGACAAAAGATAATATTTAGAGGTTCGGAGAAAGAAGTACTTCTTAACACACTCTTTCTCAAACTCACCTGACAGGTCCACTAATGCCAGCTCCCAACTTCTGTGTCCAGTTTATGTTGTACTCGTCTAGAATGGAGGTCTCCTGTTGGGAAGAGAAAACGTACCAAACAATAAATCAGACGTTTAAAAAGAAAAAAACGAGAGAAAGCTTTGTGCAGAACTGGTATGTTTTACAAACCTAGAAATAAGTGCAAATGAGCAGCCCACTTACACCCACCCCCACGGATACAGAGTATCCAGAGCAGCATCTGAAAGTGCTGTTAATTGTAATATAGACTTTTTTTTTTTAATCTTTCACATGATTTTTAAACAGAAATCTCTTAAAAGGAGTTTGGCAGACTCTAGTGAGTAAGAGTGCTCTGCATTTTCCTCGCACTGGGTTGGGTAATAGCCATCTTATCCATTATCAGCTGTCTAGTTTCGCAATGGTGCTAATCCTTAACACAGATTATACTTTATAAAAAAAAAAAGAGAGAGAAAAGACAGTTTGGCTGCTATAAAACACATACGTCTGCGTTAGCTTGGCAACTGCTGCCTATAAAAGGATTATAAAAGAAGGATGAGATACTATTCAGGAAGGAGTGAAGCACTGGGAGACGGCCTCCGTAATCATTTAGTTAAATTACTGGGATGGAGTTCTTCAGACTGGAATTTGAATACATATTTGTTTAGCCAATAGTCCCAACTTTCTGCTGTATTAAGGTAAAGGCTGTTAAATGACCCATCCTCCACTTACATTCAGTTAGACAACTTAAGATCAGAAAAAGTTTTGGTCTTAGCCAGCACAAGGAGTTTAACTGGGTGCCAGTGCCAGTACCAGCAGCTACCATAATGTCTTCTCCCCACCGCCCTGGCCAGTCCAATCTAGGATTTGTGGTGATTAATTAACATAGGACGAGGGGCTGGTATTTACTACACAACTACCAACAGGTCTGCACTTCATATCTTTGAACGATCTGACTTCCCTACACCCAACATCGGCTGCCCTGGATAATGGATCTAATGAAGCTGGTAACCAATTAGGTCTGTTAATTCTAGGTTTACCAGTCCAGCTTTGAGCAAGTTCACGTGGAAGAGGCAGGGTTTGTAAATACAAGCCAACCACGTGCGTCATCAACAGATCAGGAGCAACATATAACTACACAATATAACTGTTGAGTCATGTGGAGCAATGTGGGTATGCAAAAACTACACAGGCTGTTTACACTCTCGGATCCAATTCTCTGAAGTGAACCTGCACCGGGGCAATTTATACCGTGCAGCATAGGTTACTATGACGACTTCTTGGTGCCAGGGTCTTGATACCAGAGAGCCTGGGTTAAGCCCAAAGTTAGCTGGCTAACCCACTTATCTTTCTCAATGGCCCAGTGTGTGTTCCAGTTCTCAGCGCCATCAAGCCCAGTCAACCCAGCATTAGGCACATAGCGACCCAGCTGCGAAAGTGGGAGCCAGGGCCACTTGAGATCACATTTTACTGCTGACATTAATGCCAGGGCAAGCGACACATTGAAGGGGAGCAAGCAGGAACAAATCCCAGAGCACAGGTGTACTGAAGTGTTGCCAGTTCATGACCATGCGGGATAGATCCAAGCTCCACCAGTAATGTTTATCAAGGGTAAAACTTTCCATACAGCATTCTTCATGATTCACATTTCTGCTATTTGTAAGCCCCCCCCCCCCCCACACACACACACACACACACACACACACACACACACACACACACACTCTTGTGCAGTCAGGGGATGCCATGTTATAACAACCTATGACAGTGTCACAGTATCAGATTCAAGTGTAGTTCTTGGTGCACTCTTCACTGGAAGTGGAACCATAATTAGAGCAATTAGCAATTAAGATCAGCAGCTAAATCATGTGAACTTTCAAACTCCATTAAATAAAGACCAAAAAGTTATTACTATCGTGTTAAAATTACCTTGATGAACTTGTCTGCGTTGTTATCCTCCGACATGGTGTTCTGCTCCGGACAGATAAAGTCTGTATGATCTCTGACAGTAGAAACAAAAAGCGTCTTTCTCTGACCTTCACCAAGTTTCGGTCTTGCAACCCTCGGCTGGACCAAGACTCGTTATACTACTACTGATGACAGGACAAGGCCATTAGAGCAAAATGATATTCGACCACGGATCAGCCAGTGCAGAGTTTCGTTCACTTGGAGACCTGAAGCCCACCGGCCCGTACGATGTAACGTCAGATCAGGCCAGCTGGGCTCACAACCCCGGGGTCCGACTCGCTCTTCAAGTCGTCTTAAATTCACTGTAGTGACCATGTAGAGTGCCAACCTCCGAGCAAGGTGACCAGAAAAGCCGAAGACAAGTCCAATATGGACTACACCACCACTTTTGGAGGGGCACTGAGCATGGGACAAGACGTGTATTTTTAGCCAGCGCAATGAGAGCAGTGCTCTGGCTAAACGCTGCGAAGACACTGGGGACCGGCTGAGCTGCTGTTAGCTCGCTTGGTGCGACTCCATCCCGCGGCAGATTTATTACACCGAAGACAATCGTGATACTGTTATCTACAAAAACAAAACAACAACTAACAAAAAAAAAATCACCGATACTCTCTTCGATGAGTGCTGAGTCAATCTGACACAACGAGAGCACACCGTGTTCCCAACAGCAGGGCAGCCTATTATGTCGTCGAGCCGAGCCTGCTAACGCGCTAGCAAGTTAGCTCAGGTGGCAAGTTCGTTTTCCGGCTCTACTCGAAGCCACAGATGTTATCATTCTTCCGTAACACCGTATAATTAAAGACACAGCGCTCGTACGGCGCAATAACACCACTTTAGTGGCGGGAAGGGTGAATGGAGAATGTTGTGAGAGGTGACCAGGGAGACACACGCATCTCTGGACTATTTTGCTAATCCCATAGCTTCTTGTCGAGAGGAAAATACACAACCGAAGTCGGCACTACGCAGTAGCAGTCCGAGGATACCGCCTGATGGAAACGACCGACTGCTTTTGTACTTTAAGATCATGTGTCGATGGATATTGTTTTTCTGTCAGTAAATTATTATTTTTGATACGTGTGAAGCGTGTGTTGGTTAGTAATTTTTAAACAGAGCTCTTTTAAATTTTGATTAAAAAAAATCATTTTGAGATAGCCAGAGCAGGCTTTGATGGGTCCTTATAAGGTCCCGGTTTTCTTTTTTTAATTTTTTGTATTAAATATACTTTATTAACAACCTTCTTTGTGTACATGTTGAAATACTCAACACATAAAAGACAAAAACAAACATAAAACAAGAAATAAATAAAGAAATAAAAGAGTTATTGAGCGTATAAAATGTTAAAAGTCCTTCCCATAAAGTTCAAAGCAGCAAAGAAGGTAGATAGTTTTCTCTAGAAGAGGATGAAGTTTGGACTTGTTTTGAAGAATGTTGTTTTCGGAAAAAATTTCCCAGCAGAAGAATCAAAAGTTCTTTATTATTGAGTACAGAAACTATAAACATATTATCACATTAAAATGTAAATATCTTAGTTTCTAACCAATCATCTGAATGAGAAGAAAAAGTCTGCAGCTAGCTGAGCTGATGAGCTGAACTTGTTGTTCAACAGATTCGACAAATGCCCCTCTCACCTGCTCCCACCACACCCCCAACCATCTGGGCTGACCAGGTGAAAAGAGGGCTGCAAAGACTCTTCTCAGGAAAGACTTCAGGTCATGATGGCATGAGCATGGAGGTGCTGTATCATACATCCCTGGTCTCAGTCCCCAAGAAGCAGCACACAAAAGTCTTAAATGACAAGACCTGTGGCCCATCAAACATGATGATAACCCTTGGAGAGACTGACTCTACCACCTTCAGGCCCTGGTCAGACCAACATTGGACCCCCTGAAGTTTGCCTGACAGGAGAATATTGGGGTGGAAGATGTTGTCATTTACCTGCTTCGACAAGGTTATTCTCACCTGGACAAAACTGGATGCACAGTGAGGATCACGTTCTTTGATTTCTCAAGTTCTTTTAACACCAATACTGCCTCTGTTGGGAGACAATCTCAGGGTCATATAGCACTACACATATAACAAATTATCTAACCGGCAGGCCATAGCTTGGAAGAACTGAGGATCTGAGTGTCAGGAACTGTGATGAGTAACAGGGTGGCCACTCAGGGGACCGTCTTCTACCACTTCCTGTTTACTCTAGGATATACACCTCTGACTTCAGCTACAGACTCAGACTCACAGACTCATGCCACCTGCGGAAGTCCTCTGATGACTTTGCCATTGTGTGTTGTATCAGGGGCAACAGAGGATGAATACAGAGGCCTGGTTGATGACTTTTTGTGGGCGGTGCAGCTGAACATTAGCAAGGCAAAGGAGCCGATTGTGGACTTCCGCAGGATTAAGCCCACTCTAACCCCTGTATCCATCTGTCTATCCATTCTTCACCTACAGGGTATCAAATATAGCTTGTAAGCAACTTTTTATTGGTGAATTTAGTGAATTTCAAGAGAACATCATTTGTATTTGAAAGGCCAGGAAAACATGTGAAGGACCCTTGATTGAAGAGGAAACAGCTCTAAAAAGGTTTGAATTTTCCATATAAATTCAAAATGTATTGATTTTTTTAAAAATAAAACATGATTATTATTATTATTGCCTAGTAAATAAAGTATGAAATGTTTTGGAATCTTTTCCACGTTTGGGTACCAGTATGATTGTACCTTGTTTCATAGGGAGCAGTGGTGGACGCGGGCTGTCTGAGGGGAAGGGGTGAAAGGAAAATTAAAAGAAACCAGCTGCATATGGTGGTCAGAAAGTGCTCAGAAAGTCACAACAACTACGCTCTGCCCCTTTTTGCTCTGGGTGCCAATAACAGTTGAGCCTAAGTCAGAACCTGAGTTTGTCCTTTCTTGTACTAAGGTATGCTATGTGCCAGGCTCAACACCTTGGTCAAATGTTATTGGAAAATGTCAATAAAATTTGAAAAAATAAGATTATTCAGAATTAGAATTTTGTGGTAAATCTTATTTTAAGGTTTGTAGACTTGATGTTATTTAATTTGTTTTTAATATTTATTTATTGTATTATTTTTTTTAGATTTATGATTATAATTACAAAAAAACCCAACCAAATCAAATGCAGAATATAGATACAGTATAAAACACAACATATAGATATAGGAAAAGTCGTTTTTAAGAGATTAAATTAAAACATATACTTGACTGATCTTAATATGTGTGGATCTGTCATATCAGGAGCCTGGTTTATAATTTCATGTTTTGGAAATAAACGTAGCCTACTGGTTACACAGTGCGTCTGTTTAAATGGCATCTACAATAAATAGAAATGTCTTAATTTTCTGCCAGATACACAACCTTTGATCATGCATCAACGAAATCATCCATGTGTATTTGCCTCAGGATTTTGCTGTTAAGGCTTTTTTTACCTGTCCAACCAACTCCCTGTGTCTCTGTTTCTACATCAGGGTTGTTGCAAGATGGGAATGCCTCAAAGAAAGAAGTCATCTTTATCACGCTAATCGTTAGCATTTGTATCGCAGTGTCTAAGTTTAGTTTACAAAATATGCACACACAGGTTGAGTGTAAATAACATGTTTCTATGCATGTGCGTCTGTGTGTGTAGTGTGTGTTTGCCGGCTCACGTGGATGCCACTAAACAGCCATTGAGGATCCATGAACTTCCTGAAAATAGTGCCATGTTGTAGGTGTATTTTTTAAAATAAATTAATCCATATATATATTTCTAGTTGCGGTCTACAGTGAATATAATCCCATTTGTCCTTTTAGCATGTCAAAGGTTGTCAAAGAACACAACGCAGGATATTTCTTGTATGTTATGAGCCGTTACGCCTTTCATATATCCCTCCGCTGTTTTTTGTCCCCTTTCAGACTGTTTTGGTCTTTTCGCTGTTAGCAACGGAAAGAAACCGAGATAGCTGTAAACCGTATTTTGAGATAATCTAATTTTTTTGTTAGGACTACTTAAGAGATTGACAAGAGGTGTAACATCCATGTTTATTTTGGAAGAGTAATTGGCGCGCGTTGTCTTTTTTAAATATTGTTTATTTCTGTTTTAATAGGAATTGTACAGATTGCTAATTTAGCTAGCAACTGTTAGCCAGCTAGCGTCATAGCATAGCATCTTCCTCAAGAGGCACGTTGACGTTAGCCCGCAAGCTAGCTCCTAGGATTGCTAACGTTTGGCGAACTGTCACACAAACACACACCGTCTCATCGTCAAGAAATTGCGGTGTGAAGCTGGTCGTTTTAAGACGCTGTCTTTTATGGGATCACAATGTCAATGAAGGCCGGTGGAAATCGCAGCAAGCCCGGCGGTGGCAACACCGCTGGTGCCGCCGCCTCCGGTGCCGGAGGAAGCGGCGGGGGAAGACAGAATCTGGGCAGGTCTGTGAAATTAAAACCTTAACGTAGCGAAGTAAAAACGCAGCAGTTGTGGATTAATGTGGACAGCTTTCAGTACTTGGACGCAGTCATTTCCAACCGTGGTAGTTTTGAGAGATGACATCCCCGTTAAGTGGTCCAAAACTAGTACGTGTTTGTGAACGGTATGTGGGCCTTGCGACGTGTTGGTCACCTACCGTAACGTTATGCAGTTTAGCTAGCGAGGCCTGTCTGCTTGCTCCAGTAATGTTGCAACTTCGACGTTACGTTACCTCCTCTTGCACGTTAAATGAAACATACCATCTGGTCCCTGACTGTGCGCTTAGGCATATTTGCGTGGACATGTAAATATTTTTTGCACATGTGTGTTGCAGTGAAGCCGCTTGCCAAGTTGCTTAACCTATATCAGTTTACTATCAGCCTGGAGTCGATCTAAGCTAGCGGTAATTAGCCGTTTGACAGCCCATGCTTGTCATTCAGTGCACTTGCCTCATTCAGTATTATATCGGCTAGCTAACGGGGCAGCCTGGCGACTTTTCCGCCTAAGAGACTGGCTATAAAGCGACGGTGTTTGTTTTCATTTCACTACCATGGTAGCTTGGTAGGTTACCGCAATATTGCTGCAACGGGTTTGCCAAGAAATTGATATAAAGCGTGTGGGCGCACGATAGAAAGGGGTGGGTGTGGAGACGATGGGGTGAGGAGGAGAAGGGAGGAAGGGAGGAAGGGAGGGAGGGAGGGGAGAGATGGGGAGAGATGGGGAGGAGGGGGGGATTAACGGTACAGACCGACGGGGCTTTCAACCTTGACGTTGCCGTCGCTGCTTGTGTGAAATTGTGTCCTTGAAGCATGACATTTCTGTACATGTCGTCCTGCGATACAGCTAACACATACTGTCAGTGCAGGAGCTGCGTGCGTATTGTGCATTTTAATGGCGTTAATTTGGTCAGGCTTCTATTCACCGGTCACTAGGACAGTACGTCTCATTCATTGCGTAGGTTTCCATCTATTAAGGCCGTGTGAATGTATTGTAAAATGAGACTGGACGAGTATCAGTTCAAAATGACTTGGCTTGGTTTTCGTTTCAGTATTCAGGAACTGAGTGTGTCCAAGTGAGCCTATTACTCATTTACTACGACTGATATAATATAGGGAATGTGGCCATTGCCTACATTGAATCAAGTGTGAATTTCCTGGCCATGTGCCAGCTGCTGAACAAGGTGCATTTTAGGACATGCTTGGGGGAAAATGTAGGCTAGTGAGTGTTTGGCTGGCAGCCCCTGGAACATTATTCTAACCAGCTAAATATATTGTGGAATCTGCGGGAAATTTCAGAATCTACATTGCATTTGAATATGTAATGAATTTACATTTGCAAGACATTTTGGCGTGTATTAAATTGGATATTTTATGGTGATGATTCTTTAGGATTTCCATTGACATGTGCAACATTAATTGAAAGATTTACTCCACCACCTCCTGAGATTTCTGTCATTCAGTTATACAGTTGTCCCGATCAGAGAGCGCTTTGTTTC